TCTTTGGATAGTTCATCACATTTGATCATATCCGATTCGAGATCCTTGTGTCCTGGGAAATAGGTGGATTTTCCCCACGTTATGTTTCGAATGGTGGAAGCTTTGCTTCCTGTTTTCTCACCTGTGCAAAAATAATAGATAAGCTTCGACATATAGATCGATACACACATAAATACAAGAGTGGGCACAGACTGGTGACGGTTATTTCATCAGTAGGCCTATTCAATCTTAAATTTAATCATAAAAGGATTTAAAAAAGAAAAATGATTCATGAGACACTTTTAAAAATTAAAGGTTCTTCCGTGATTCTTTAAATGGAGATGGTGATGGGAAAAAAATGAGATAGATAGGAGGAAAAATTATATTTCAATAGGCTACTTTTGCAGTTCCCGAGAAACTAATTATTCTCGGGAGAACGCAAAAGTTTTGCTAAAGAACCTAAAAGCGTTGACATAGCCTACAGGTTGATTTTACCTCGCCTCTTTGTATTATCAAGAACATTTTGGCTTACTATGATTTTTGACCTGCTTACACGGTTCTTTGAATTTTATAAAGGTTCTCAATGGTTCATTATAGGATCTGTTACGGCCTCTGAGTTCTCGCCAGCATCAGTACAACAATAAAGCGCTTAATTCTCACCGGTGTTGTCCTTCAGGTGTGTTTTGGACAGTCTCTCCGTGAGCTTCCTCGCGAGCTCTTTGACGCTGTGCGCGGCGCTCGATCTGCGCGCCAAACCTTCATCCTTCACCCTGATGTTCCCCACGTACCACATGAGCCACAAGGCCAGGCTGGCGAACAAGACCAGCGCGCCGGTGTGGATGAGGAAATCCCCGTAAAACACGCCTTGCGTCCGCACGTTACCGAATATCCCGACGAACAGCAGCACCACACCGAGGGCGTCGAAGACGATCGCCATGACGAATAACGGCAGGCAGCTGCCGATGCACCTCAGCGCCGTCATCTTCGGGAGGAGGAGGATGCTGCTGCTGCTGTCGCTAGCGGAAAAACTGCCGAGCTCAGGTGAGACGCACCTGGCGCACAGAGAGGGAACGCCCTCGTGACGTCGCGGCTGCTGGCGGTGGGACTGCGATCCAAATCAAATGCCTTCCTACATGGCATATTTAATACCACTAGTTATGCAGTATATAGCGTGAACATCTCATTTTTGACAATTATATCGTTAAAGGGGTCATATGATGCTACTAAAAAGAACATTATTTTGTGTATTTGGTGTAATGAAATGTGTTTATGCGGTTTAAGGTTAAAAAAAACACATTATTTTCCACATACTGTACATTATTGTTTCTCCTCTATGCCCCGCCTTTCGTTTTAGGTAGGCGTGGCTGAATCTTAACTTTTATAAAGAATATCTCTTTGGATTTGAGACTTTAGTCTTTGCAACTTTACAGATCTTCTTTATGCACCAAGAGCTTGTAACACTCCAAAGAGAAAGGACAAATTTAAATCATATGACCCCTTTAAACAAACTTGAATTCCAAATGGAAGAAAATAATCATTTCTGAGATGAGGATGAAAATGTACAAACTTCATATTAAAGCAGAATAGTAGCTATATGGTACGCGTTATGTCCTAACCATGAAATATTTTTTTCAAATAAGTTTTTACTATATGAAATAGCGTAAAGCATACAAATAAAAATAAATAAAAAATTGCGGGGGGTACTTAGAGAAACAACGCTGTGGAAAACGGTCAAAAAAGTAGTTTTTCTATAAATGTATGATTTTATTTTCTATTTAAATGCACATTTCTTTTAGAAATTGATCGATTTATATTCTCAGGACTCATGCAAAACAATAATAAGTAGATCCCTGTCATTTAACCTTAACTGAAGGCTAACTCATCCTCACTCTCATCTCATGGGAGAGCTAACTAACTCTGCACTCTTCCTATTGGCCTTTTCTGTCAAATATCGCTGTATTCATTTTCTGAAAATAAGAAATAATTTGGTTGTTTATACATAAATACAACTATACTACAATAAACATTTCAAATAAATAAATAACTGCAATCATATTATTGATGCTACTATCTATAAAAAAAACCAGTGGGGAAATAAGTTACTGCAATTGTCACACATATGCCATTGTGAAATTTTGTGGGGAAAAAGGTACAATGTCGATTGTCATTAGTGTAGAAATGTATAAAACACAGATTAAAGAAGTCACTTTCAAACCAAGCAGCTTTCTACTTGGTCAAGTTAATTTGTGATTAATTTGAACAAGAGGGAAATCTACGTGGGGAACTTTCCCGCCCTCACGCGAAACTCCTGATCGTTTGGATTCCTATTTGAATGACAGAGACATTTCTCAGTCTTCTTTTGTGCTCCACAGACAAAAGAAAGTCATACAGGTTTGAAAGGACATGAGGGTGTTTAAATGATTAAATGATGAATTTTCATTTGTGGGTGAACTATCCCTTTAATACTGATTCCTATGCACTATATCAGACTATGCTGTCTACACGGCAATAATAACACAGTATGTTGGATTCTGTGTCAGGTTGCACAAATATTTGCCTGTCAAATGTGGGCTCAAGTCATTCAAATGAGAGACTTGGTTTTGTGTACTAAAGCTGCACGCATCTTTCTGGTCCAGTCATGTTTGGTGACTTTAGTTTCTCATTTCTGACACTTTCTGATCAAAAAAGTGCAAATTAAAAATATGAATACTATAAATAACAAAGAATATTAAAAATGTTGCTTTTCAGCTTTAAAAAAAAGACAACAAATACATCTCTCACAGTAAATAAGAATTTGAGTCAATATTCAGACACAATTTTAATATTCACATTATGCATACTGAGTTTTGAGCTCAGTTTAAATCTGCATTGAAGCTACACACAAAGCAGACAGGTTAGTCGCCACGCTGGTTAAATAGACTCATGGAGGAAAGCAGAAAAACGTTGTAAACTACATTCTTACATTTTCTGAAGAATGCATGGTTTCAGACCCAAGGGAAAAGAGTCCATCCTGAAGTCTCTGTTTCCTACTGCAGATATGGAGTCTATGAGATTTTCTGCCCATTTAGTCATCCAAAAACAAGTTATGTTTAATACATTTGTTTAGAATGTGATTTCTCCATTAAAGCAAGACACTACAGGTGAACGGTAAAATATTTCCCCAGTTGATTAATCACAGTACTTTAAGACGACTGTTTTTAAAAAAAACGTTTTCTGAAATGCAAATGAGGCATTATCTAATTCAATATGCATTCATTTGAATGCATTTCCAGAACAGTAACCTATAAAGCCAGGTTCAAATTAAATTTTGGATTTCTCTTATTACTCAATAAATCAGAAAATACTGTCAACAGCCAGAGGGAATATATATAGAAGAATAAAATGTTATGTAAATCAGGTGAATGATGTATGATCAAACCCCTCTGTAAAAACCTTCAGAATATAGATAGGAATACAACTGTTAAGTTTGGTGTATGTAAGTGCTGCTGAAGTGGAGATTTTTTAGCTCATTTTGAAAAAAACTTTAAGGATATGAATTGTAATTGAAATCTACAGATGCAAATAGATAACGTGCAATAAACACTTAAATGTATTTTGGATTTTTTTAGTATTATTTATAATATTATTATCTAGTTTTATTAATATTTTAAATTTGCAGTTTTAACATTTTTTTGTATTATTTTTTATGTATTTTTCTTTAATTATTACTATTTAGGTTTAATTGATTTTTTAAATTTCAGTTTTAGTTTTATTTATTTCCAGATGGTAATTTTAATAACTTATTTTAGTTAGTTGCCAAGACAAAACTAAATTTTGTTTAAGTATTATTTATATACTATTATAATTTTTATTAATATTTTGAATAAGCTTTTATTTTACTTTTTATTATTTTCAATTTTCATTTTAGTATTTTTATA